AAGTTCCTCCACTTGATCCACTCCCAGACCCAGTTCTCATATATGGCAATGGGTTTTATGCCAGTGCCCAGCACAGTCTGACCTTCCACTTAGCCTTGTATGAGCTGGTGAATGTTGCAGCCCGGCCCACCCCACACCCTATTCAGAATGCACATTCAGGTGCTGCTGTCTTGATCAGTCCAGACTGCTGTGGGTTCCTTTACCTGTGATTGATGGTAGGCTCCTTTTTCACGCCGAGCTTATTCCATCACCTCCACAACTGTTGAGCTAACCAGTGGGGCTAGAATTTCCACAGGGCTTGGCCCACACAGCCCCCACAGAATCTACCCCTGGATATGGCTCTCGAGTGCTAGTTAATGTAATGGCCATGACCAAAGTGACCATTCTCTGATCCATCATCATGTCAGGTAGCAGAACATGATTCTGCTGGACAAGGCCCGAGCCATAGCTTATGCATGGACTGGTATTTGGTGGTCAGCATTGCTAAGTGATAACATGTTCTTCAAAGGAAGAGTAACTGTCATTGGGAATCTTTAAGATATATTCACCTCCCAGAAACACATAGGGTTCAACGTGGAGCTACATAAGCAGCAATTCAAACCAACAAAATCCCAGAGCTCCCCTGCCAGGTGGGTGGGCCTGTCTAGCCCGGCTCTGGAGACCTCCCCCCTCTGTCAGTGTACTCATCCCAAAGGGAGCAGCCTCAGAGCCTAGGCAGGCCCTTGCCCAACTCACCACATGCACGTGATGGAGGGCTTGTGGGATCCAGGCATGAGACGCCCTATCCCAGGACCAACCCTGTCATTTTAGCAATGGGTTGTTCATTGATTTAGCCTTCTGTTGTTATTTTACTGGGATGTTCTTCATATCTAGCCTTTGGTTTTGGGAGGTGCTGTCCCTTTTCTCTGTCACAAGAATATCATTTGTAGGGCAGGTTTAGAAGAGGCATATTCTTTCAACTTTACTGTGGAAGAATTTTACTTCATTATTAAAGACAAAGGAAAGCTTTGCTGGGTACGTTATCCTGGGCTGACAAATTCTTGCTTTTGGAATCTGGAATATGTCGCTGTATTCTCTTCTGGCCTGTAGAGTTTCCTGTGAGAGGTCTCCTGTGAGTTTAATTGGCATTCCTTTATATGCCGGGATTAGAACCGGAGCCAATATGGGATCCCGGGCATGCAAGGTGAGGACCTTAACCACTTGCGCCACCGTGCTGGGCCCATCCCATAACTCTTATATTTGTCCTTTTAATGGTGTCTTTCAATTCTTGAATACTTTTATTAGCTGGACCCAACTCTGCTTCTAGCTTTTTGTTTGTTTCCCCCTCATAAGAGAAAATATCTTATAGTTTTGAGATTTTTGCTTCTGTTTTCTTCATTTTATTTTGGAGACTATCCACTATACTTTTAATTTGCTCCACTGTATTCTTCATTTCTGATATGTCAGCTTTTATTTGCTTCATGTCCAGTGTGACATATTCCTTAAATTTCTTGAATGCCTGCTTTACGTGCTTCTTATAGTTGATAAGAAGTTTGATAACAAATGTTCTGAATTCTGTATCCTCCATTTTCTCGATGCCTTCCTCAGTGAACTCTGAGGCTGGCAAAGGATTTTGTTCCTTTGCAGGGGAGTCTTCAGTAATATTCATTGTGCCTCTGTCTCTTCTTTTGCTCTTGGTTATTGTACTTCTGGTTAGCAGATTCTTGTCCTTGGCGCAGATTTCTAAGCTGTGTCACCCACAAGCCTACAATTCCATTTTACCTGCGGTTGGTACATGGTCCTTTGTTTGCAGTCACTTGTGCCACTTCCTGCAGTTTTTTCCAGGTCTGGGTTCTTAGACCATCGTGGTCTTCGTAGCCCCAGATCCTGGCTCACCACTCTTCACCTCCTGTGATACCTTGCCAGGGCTGCACCATTGTACAACCTTTCTCCCACTTCTAGTTGGAGAAGGTCCCAGGGTTAGGGAGATACCAGGTGTCCTATTTAGCTAGGTTATTGCCAGAACCTGCTGGGCATTAGGTCTGAGGGACACATGGACCTATTTTGACCTGTACGATGCCATAGTGGTATTATTTTCCCTGTGAGACCAGTGCAACGCACTGAGCTTGGTGAGTTCTTGCTGAGCTTAGCACATGCACAGCTCACTGTTGTTCCTGCAGTCTTCTGATCTGTAGCCAGACGCGGTATCCAGTGAGCAAGTGGTATCCCTGCAGTCTTAAATTCTTTGCCACACTGTAAGAAATCGTACCTGATGTACTACTGCTAGAGTTCTTGATCTGCTGGCCGTCTGGTCTGAGGGCTACCCGAACCTGTCTTAGGTGGAACCTGTAGGATGCCATGTTATTGCAGTTCACTATCCAGAAATGAGTTTACTCCCAGCTCAGTGCATGCACAGTCCTGTCCCATGGCCTTTGCCTCCTTAAACAAAATGGTGTCTGAGACAGCTCTACAGGGCAGACTTGGCTATGAAATCCACCCTGTTCCTGCAGCCCTTCTGGGACCTGCTGCTCTGTCTCTGCTCCTGGTCAAATAAAATGGAACACTAGGATGGGCAGTTCTTTGCGTTCACTGCCAGAGCTCCCAGTGAAAGTCCATTCCCACCTTATTGCTGGTACAGTTCTGGCTGCTGGTGGAATTCAGATGGCTGCTTTCTGAATGAAGCTTGAGAATCAGTCACTGCAAGATCACACCCTTGTTTCTGCTGCTTTCCTGTTTCTGTCAGTCTCTGGGTACCCCTCTGCTGTTGTTCGGTCCTCTCCTATTTCCTGGAATGTGCCCTCTCTACTTCATATTGGCTAATGTTTCTTGTCTGTTTAAGCATGCCCTTATCTATTATACTATCTTTATTCAACCAGCCAATATTGTGACAAATGTTGATAGCCATATTTTCCTAAGGAATTACATAATCTAGATATTCAAAATTATCTGCAGGCAAGTTTTCACTTACCTGTTTCATTTCCTCTGTATTATTACTCTTCCTTGTCATTTCTGTATTTGTGTGTTTTTTACTCTGTTCAAACACATTAGGTAGAGGTTTATCTATTTTAACTTTTCAAAGAACCAAAATTTTACTTAGTTGTTTTTCAATTCATTGCCTCGATTTCTGCATTTACCTTTGTCATTCCCTCCCTGTGGTTAAGATATTTTTCTAGGTACTTGCCTTAGATTTTAATTCAGGGTCTGGCGGCGTGGCCTAGCAGCTAAAATCCTCACTTTGAACGCGCTGGGATCTCATATGGGCGCCGGTTCTAATCCCGGCAGCTCCATTTCCCATCCAGCTCCCTGCTTGTGGCCTGGGAAAGCAGTCAAGGATGGCCCAAGGCCTTGGGACCCTGCACCCGCGTGGGAGACCATGAAGAGGTTCCTGGTTGCCAGCTTCAGATCAGCGAAGTACCACCCGTTGCAATCACTTGGGGAGTGAATCATCGGACGGAGGATCTTCCTCTCGGTCTCTCCTCCTTTCTGTTTATCTGACTTTGTAATAAAAATAAATAAATCTTAAAAAAATTTTTTTTAATTCAGTTGTGTTCATACGTTGTGTTTTATTAATTGATGTGATATAAATTTTGCACTGCTACTGCTTGCACAGATTCTGAAACACATTTGTGCATTTAAAAATTACAGGAGTGACCTTTTTATTAACATTTTTTAGAATTTATTTTTATTGGAAATGCATATTTACAGAGAGGAGAGACAGAAAGATCTTCTGCCCACTGGTTCACTCCTCAAGTGGCTGCAATAGCCAGAGCAAAGCTGATCTGAAGACAGGAGCCAGAAACTTCTTCCTGGTCTCCCCACTTGAGTGCAGGGTCCTCAGGCTTTGGTTTATACTCTACTTCTTTCCCACGCTACAAGCAGAGAGCTGGAAGGGAAGCAGAGCAGCCTGGATTGAACCAGAGCCCATATGGGATCCTGGTGTGTGCAAGGTGAGGACTTTAGCTACTAGGCTACCAGTCTGGGCCCAGCCTTTTTCTTTTTAAATTATATTTTAGAGGTAGAGATCTTTCATCCCTCATTCACTTCCCAAACACCTGCAACAGCTGGAGCTGGGTCAGTCTGAAGTTGACCTGGGTCAGCCTGCAGCTTAATCTGGGTCTCAACTCTGGGTGGTAGGAAGCGACTAATTGGCCCTTGATGCAGCCCAGTGTTAGGAAAGTGGAACCCTATTGTCCCACCTCTGACTCTTGTGTTGAGGTTCTGAAGGTGAGCAAGGTTGCCAAGGCTTTCTGATCCTCAACAAGGAAATCCAGGTCACTGTGGTGCTAGGAAGTATCCAGGGGGTGTGGTAAAATATTGAGTGGATTCAGAAATGACTGTCACATGGACAACGGCCCCCTCCAGAGGTTGTAATGGATATGCAGAGTGTATTGTGGAACATTTGTTTTAAGTTTCCAAATGGAACACACTGGCACGTCCTTACTGTACATTTCATATGACACCTCCTATTTAGGTAGAATGTTTAATTATTTGGGACACTTACTCCTTCTTTCTATTCTTTCTCCCTCCCTCGCTTACATCTGGGAAACTGGGCTGTTGGTCTTTGTCATCGGCAAGAGTGGCGTTGGGGGCTGGAAGAGTAGCCCAATGATTCTTTCACTGTTGATTTCTGCCTTCTGCATGTGGTAGGTCATGGATATTAGTAATCCTGATTAGGAGATGAAAGCTGCCTTAATAGCTCTGGCAGGACTCACATGTGTGGAAATCAGAGCCATGTTGTAGACTGGAACAGTGTGAGAAAGGAAGAAACCACGGGAGCTCCTTAAAGGTGAACGGTCCAATTAATAAAACTAAAATTGTATCTAAATCTAACACAAAACTGTAGAAATTAGTTAAATTACCCAGTCAAAAGTTAGGGTGTTCTAAGTCAAGGTCCTGGAATACAAAAACACTTTAATAAAAACACAAGGTAGGTTTTCTGTAAAATGCGATAAATAATAATGTACAAAATAATGGAATTTTCTGGTATGCAAATATTTTAAAAACATGTACACTAGTTCAAGCTGTTAAATTGTATTTTATTTAATATAACGGATGATATTAATAAATATACACATATTTTAGTGAAACATTAAATGCATAAGTTCACCAGCTACAAATATTTTAGTAGGGCCAAGTACTCTACGTTTGAAATATGGCCATTTTTGAAATGCATAATGCACAATTATAATAATGATATTACTTACATAGCTACTTTGAAGATTTGGCTAAAACATTTGGATCTCTGCAGGTCAGAACAAGAGTTCTCTACCTAAGACAAGTAAAACTGTATTATTAAGGAAGTGCCACTGGAGTAGACAATGCCATTGCAACTATTTTATCTTTGGAGAAGACAATAATGTACACAACAGTATAAAATTAGTTTCATTACACTAGCACAGAACTAGTAATCTGCATTATTTGCAATAATCGAATGCTTTCGTATAATTGATATTAATCGCAGTGAAAAGTAGATGTGAGTCATAGGTTCCCCTTGAGAATGATCACAGCTGCTTTAGGACGAGCTGTTCCATCACTGCTGAATACAGCTCAGTCCAGAGCTTTTAGAAAGTGCCATCTCGAACTGAAACAAACCTAATTCTATCAATGCTAAAACAGAGTTTTCATGACTTCCTAGAAATGAAGGAGTCCCTCTTTATTACATTATAAGACCAGTTGCTGCCTGTCCTCAGGAGAACGGAGGTCTGTGTGTGGTCAAGTTGGCAACAAGCCAGTTTCCAGCCAGTGAGAGTCTGCTATGCATTGCTAGGAGATGTATCTTTCACATTCGGAACATGGACACAGTACTTGGCAGGCACTTGACCTCACTTGGTAGTTCAGTTGGTGTTCAGATGTTTACTTAATGGAAAAGCAAATTATACAGTGACTTCCAGTCATGTTCCCACAGAACATCTGCCGTCCATAAGTTAAATCCAAATGTTCCCTGCAAAATCAAATAATGATACCATATACCAAATTCAGAGCAAATAAATTTAATAAAGTTGATAGAGTTGTCTCAAACTTATGATTCTCAAACTAAATTTTTCTTATATCTTTGTTGTCTTTTTTTGTTTTAATGGTAGCAAGAAAAAAAATCTTGAAAACTATGAAATGTTATGCATGCATGCTATTAGAAAACCTGAATCTGTTAATCAATATATTATACTGCTTATGGAAATATTCTTGTTTTTGCCTTTGTGATAAGAGTCATATTTTCTCAGAGTCAGTGTGTTCCTAGTTCATTGTCAGGATCATTATGTAAACATCTTGATGTACTCAAAAGATTATGCCACCTTTGGGGTTCTTTCCAAAGGAATACTTTCAATGTATCATTAAGAATAGGTTTTTAAGGTAAGGCTACCAAATTCTATTATAAAGTGAAAACATATGCAAGATTCTAATATTGATATTACTAACGTTTTCTTTTTTCTTTAATACTTAACATGTAGTTTAAGGAGGTTGGTATTAAGAATTTTTATTATGTATGTATGCATCACTGTATTACAATTTTTGGGAAAATTTCACAACATACTTTCGGCAGTTAGCTTTAAATAATGAAACTTCAGTTCTTAGCATAAACAGCCCTGAGAATAAAGCATTCAAATTATAGCTCAACTAGAAATAATCTAATTGAGAAACCCTAGAGTACAAAAACAAATTCCAGAAAAAAATTTTAAATAAAAAAAAATGTACCAACATTAGAGGCACTACCAGACTACAGTACTTTTTAAAAATTGGAAAGACTTTGGAAAAAGAACAAACATATAAAGCTGTGTGTGCACTCAAATAGTGCAATAATGAGAAACTGTGTCCCCAGATTTCATAGCCTAAATATTTTACTGCAGCATTTCCTACTAAAGATATTCTCTGGCTGCAGAAGTTTTGGTATTACTTTAAAGCAACAGTACAGAAACTGTACCGTGAAGGGAAACAGTCATGGGCTTCAAGCCTGGCTAGCAGCAAATTTCTTCAAGTGATTGACAGACCCCAGAGAGGCGCATGAACAAAACATCACAATTATGTTTTGATGCAAGTGCAAAGTCAAAGGAGCTGTGGTTTGAGCTATCTCAAAGGGTATACAACCTTTTAGTAAATGAGCTATAATAACAATCTTCTTCAGTAGAAACAAAATGTTACAGCAAGAAATAAATATTCATGTTAATACAATCAACATTCCATACAATGTCATTTGTGACATTTAACACTTAGTAAAAAAAACCACACACACATGCACACAAAACACAAAGACTACCAATAAACTTCGAAACACTTCTCTAATGTCGAAAATGAAATGACTTCTATTAAAAATATTTGTCCCCTGCTTTCCTTTTTAATGCAATTTATAAAGCTTTACTGAATGAAAATTTTGCCCTAAAGAATTATCTTGAGTCATGTGAAAATAAAGTCTCAAATCTTCAAAATCTATACGTATAGTTACACAGAGTATTTACATTTCATATATACTTAAAATGAGATATTTATACATAAATATCTTTTGCCATTCAAGTATGAAGATAGAGATGCATTCTCATAATTTGTACACCCTTATATCTCAGTTGAAAATATATTTACATGAAGTCGGACAAGTTAAGGACAAAGACATGCTACAATAAAGAATAATACTAGTTCAGAACACTAGCATCGTTGGCTGGGGCCATCGAACTGATCAGCAAGCAGCATGAGTGATAAGTTTCTGGAATTCCTGTGAGTAATAACAATGTTGACTGGCGGCAGGTTACACATCCCAGGGTACTAAGACCTGGAGGAGCATGTAGCAGATACTTACACAGAATACTGGAAAGAAGTTAGCCTAATTCCTAATTGTGCTTTAGATGGGCAAAAGCTAACACTGCTATACTAAAAAACATTTAAGGACCACCTCCATATTTCTTGTGCTTTAGAATTCACCTTGCTTTTTTTCTTTTTTTTTTTTTCTGAAAGTATCTTGCTTCTTCTCAAAGGGTCTGTTGAATTTAAGACAGAGTAACAAATTAAGTCTGTAAGACTGGAGTGCTCTGCTCCCAGTTCTGGTTCCTACTGCTGATTCGGTTGGTTAGGTCATCATGGAGATTTTGCTAGAGGATGAGAGTAAGGGTCTTTAAGAGGCCAAGGCATGATGTGGGGTGAGGAGGAAGGCTTCAGAATTAAAAAAAAAAAAAAAATCAAGGTATTACTTAGATATGATTTGGCTCTAAGTTTCACTACAATATAATAAATGTAACCAAGTCAAAGATGCTCACAAACTCTAAATGTCTTGGAAACATACATGGGACTCAAAAGAGTACAGAGAAATTCAGGCTGTCACTTAAAATACCTTTTAAAATAATTAAATTGTAGGATTCTTTCTCAGTTATATATCATACTAGTCATTGAATTAAGTCATATGACAATCAGAAAACATACATGTTTATAATAAATTTTTGCACAAAGTAGCACTTCTTCCATGATTATTTTTCATTTCACTTTAGCAAAATGGACATGAATTTTACAAAGTCTTCAAATAAAGTTAAAGAATTTCCAGTTTTCATCTAACAAAATATTCTATTGCCCAAAAATCTACTCATAAGAAAGGAATAACTGGTGATAAATGTTAACTTTTCACGAACATTGTTGGAAGGAAGCACTGCACAGAATCTTATAAATGCAGGTCATTCCTCTTGATGTTGGGATTGCTGGTGGTGTTACAAAAGTCAAAAACAGAACCTGAAAATAACTCTGTACTACTATGCTGAGTACAAAAGCAGCAAATGAAAACCTACAGCTTGATGCAAACCCTTTTCTCACATTTCTCTTCTTTACAGACTAACTTGTTCACAAGTGTCTACTTCAATAAGTTTGTGAAAAATGGAATTAAACGTAAGTTTACTTTGCTGTGAAACATTTGAAAATCCCATCACAAAATTTATTCCATGAAGTTTTTGCTTTGAATTTAACAGGTAAATCAACCCACCTTTTAATTTCATTATTGGCAAACTTTATGAAGTAGTGCATATTCATAGGTTCAATGCACAGGTTCAATGTGTTAACTACAAGAAGGTACTTCCGTTTCACCATATAGGGTGATTTCAGAGTTGCCAAGGATAGTATGATGGAGGGAAACATGTAGTTGTACATGCCCACCAAGATAACTGACAGTTTTGATAACATAATTTTGTAAAAAGTTTTTTTTTTTTTTTTGCCGTACTGACAATTCCAATCCACAGTTCATAGATTCTATACTATTAAGTCTGAAATGAATACAGAGCAAATCAACCTAATGTGGCACTGTAATACCACTCTATGTTATGCTGATTTCAAACCCTGGTTTACTTATCACTGACTAAAAAAAATGACAGAGTAATTTTATCACACAAATTATATTTGCTGAAACTATCTTGTCTGATTCTTGGAGTCACATACTGAAAACCACAGGAATGTTACAGGGAAGAGATCTACAAAACTACGGAAAAAGAGTCATATATCTTATTTTCTTAATTTGCCAGTTACTTACAAAACTAACCCAGTATAATGTCAAAAAAGTTAAAAAAAAAAAAACAAAAAAAAAAAAACAAAAAACCGAGCTGGCTGATGAAGGCCATGGCTTTGGTGGCTACTTATAGCCAAACTTGACACCTGCAAATGACCCAGGCCTAAATGGTTTATTCAGGCCTGATGTCTGCCCCGCCTTATTTGCAGGGCTTTATGGCTACAGCGTATTCCTCACTCATTGCACACATGACGGACACCTAGAAGAGAGAGAATAAAAAAAAGGCAAGAGGTTATGCAGAAGGCAATACACAGAGAGAAAAATCCATTTAGCTCTTCACACAGCACACCGGTTTACATATCTGCGGATTATTTTGTGCATATTGACTTTGAAAAAGTGGGTTTCAAAACAAATGATCTTCCATTAGTGTTTTCTAAAGTACAAGTGTTCCAATTTGAGTTTGTACGGTCATATGCAAGGAACAGGGAAAGTGAGAGCGATGCCCTCAAAGGTACAGCCAAGACAAAGCAAATCTCCTTCCTCACTCTAACTTTCTATAGCTCACATACGGGTCTTCCCAATGAACTTAGAGCCGACAGAGACCACACAGAAAACAGTGAGCCTTGATGACACTTTCTTTGGCAACGGGTCACCTTACAGAGATGAAAATTTGAAACGCTTGGCAGCAGCCCTTCAAAAATATTTCCTATTTAGTATATTGTGCTTAAGAGTTAATAAAGATTTTAGAAAATGGTATAAACCAACCTCTCCCAAGCCTTTACCTGTACATCTTCGCCTGCGTTGTATTTTCCTTCTATTTCTTTGCCTAGTTCACCTTCTGGCAGTTTAAGATCCTCACGAACTTCACCAGTTTCTGTCAGCAGGGAAAGGTAACCATCCTGAATGCATATCAGCTATTAGAAGAAACCGTAGCATTCACACCGATTAGATCATAGCCGTTCGTCTGTGCTGCTTCCATGACTAAACTGCAGCCCGCAAGAAACTGTCTAAGCATGCAGCAATATAACGCGAATATATTCTTGGTGCTTGAAAATGCTAAAAATACAAGCATATGAAATATGCACAGAACTCAGGTGTCAAGTGCACCGCTAGCTGTGCTCACGCCTCCCTCGCCCAACATCAACCTCTGCACTTCAGGCGGCTCGGGATTCACGGCGTGTCCAGAAGCGTTTGTCTCATACAAACATGACTGCTTTGGGGCCAAAGTGGAATAGCACAAGCACTTCTGAGCAAAATGTTTTCACTTACACATACATCTTAGAAACCCTTCCACGACAGAAACTACACAACTGCATGCATATACTGTAATTGAATTAGTCTTTTCCCTTTAATAGGCACAAGAGTATTTTTAAATTTTTCATCATTGCTAATCATGCATCTTATAATTTGCTTAGAAACAGTTAAGTGGAAATTTTGTTTTCTAGTGTACTACTAACAACTTCAAAAAAAAATTCAAACAGCTTACTGATGATACATGAATGAAACAAATCCAGTCATTAACGCATACTGCGCATTAGCACAATTTTGAAATAGCAGGATTTGTCCATTACAGGAATGAGAAAATATATATTCTAAAAACCATGTACACCTGTATTCCAAAAGCACATATGCACTCTCAGTGTGGCAAGCAATCTAGATGATTTTGTAAACGGCAATTGTTCAGAATGACAGCTGCTAACACGCATGAAGACTTTTCAAAGACACTCCTTGACTTGAGTCCCATGAAACAACCCGGACATACTACTGACATATTTCTAGAGTTTCCAGGCTCTCTTCCACGCACACCATCTACCAAGTTCATCCATGGTTTTCCACAAACACTCCAGCCACCGCAGGAGATCGGAGTTTTTGCCCATGTCTAAAATCTTAAATGAAAGAAAACACGAAAACTATAGCAAACGTTGTCCAGTCACCTCTTAGTCCCTCAAGCATTTGGGAGGTGACGGAGTGAAAGAGAAGGAGCAAGGGAGGTGAGACAGAGCAGTCATTTTAAACCGACCGCATGCTAACAAGACAAATCTTTCCCATTTCTGCTTTCAGCAATTTCCTGAGGCGAAACTAATCTATTTTAAGAGTTAAAAAATTCCATTGCCTCTAGCGATTGAACCATAGCAGCAAGATGATAATATTATTATTTTGATAAAAATGAGCCACCGTTATGTAAAGAAATAAGGATTAAGAACCCATAAATTAAACTGTGGGGTAGAATATATAGAATGTTTCAGTGCCAAAAGTGTATAAACATTATAAAAGCACATAGTAAAAATACACTGATAAACTTTACACATCTTGTTAAAAATATTACCATCAGAAATTTTCAATAATAAAAAAAACCAAGCTATGGAGAAATAAATAATACAAACAAATAATCTGATACTTTAAGTTACTTTTCTATTAAAATTTTCCCAAAACAAGGGTGCATCTATATTCTTACATAACTAGTCTAAAATCAAGACATTCATTTTTTATTCATTTATTTTTTTAAAGATTTGTTTTATTTTTATCGGAAAGTCAGATATACAGAGAAGAGGAGAGGCAGAGAGAAAGATCTTCCATCTGATGATTCACTCCCCAAGTGACCGCAACAGCTGGTACTTCACTGATCTGAAGCCAGGAGCCAGGAACTTTTTCCAGGTCTTTCACGTGGGTGCAGAATCCCAAGGCTTTGGGTCGTCCTGGACTGCTTTCCCAGGCCACAAGCAGGGAGCTGGATGGGAAGTGGAGCTGCCGGGATTAGAATCAGTGCCCATACGGGATCCCGGTACTTTCCAGGCAAGGACTTTAGCTGCTAGGCTACTGCGCTGGGCCCCGACAGTGTACATTTTTGTGCACATTTTCCTACCTTTTTCAAAGTACCTTCTGTCTATAGACTTAGAAGGCAGAGATGGAGACTATTCTAAGGAAATTTTAATTTAGTCTTTTTTTTTTTTTAAAGATTCATTTTGTTTAAAAAGTCAAGTGTTATAGAAAGACGGAGAGACACAGAGCAATATCCTCCAACTCTTGGTTCACTCCCCAAATGGCCACAACAGCCAGAGTTGGGCTGGTCTGAAACTGGAAGCCAGGAGCTTCTTCTGAATTTTCCATGTTGTGTGGATGCCCAAGGATTTGGGCCTTTGATTTCTCAGGCCATTAACAAGGATCTGGATTGGGAAAAGGAGTACCCAGGACATGAACTCGCCTCCATATGGAATGCCATTATTGGCTGATGGAGGAGTAGCCCGTTAGGCTACTGTGTTGGCCCCTAATCTAATTCTGGCATTTCTAGTCATCTGATCCCTTTAGATAATTTTTTAAACAACCTTCTCTTTTTAGCATGGAATAAGCATTTTTGTAATGCCAAGCAGGTTAGAGTAAAAAATCTCTAAGAGATAATCCTCTTTTACACTGGTATACTAAGGTCCTTAATATCATATATTACATTGGTACCCAAACGTGGTAGCTCATTTATCAAAAGAATATAAGTGTCCTGTAAAAAATGGGTAATTCAAGGTCCCAATCAGTAAGTACACAACATGAAAACAGAGCAAGCTGTTGTATTAGATAACAAGCAACTATCAAGGACCATTTGTTGGGCTTGAATCAGCTCCCACAGCCAAGGTTAGAACAATGTGAGAATCAATAAGGTTAAAACCCACAATGAATCGAGACACAAATACGCTTTAAAAGCTGAAGTTCGGGCCCAGCGCGGTGGCGCAAGTGGTTAAGGTCCTCGCCTTGCACGCCCGGGATCCCATATGGGCGCCGGTTCTATCCCGGCAGCCCTGCTTCCCTTCCAGCTCCCTGCCTGTGGCCCGGGAAAGCAGTCGAGGACGGCCCAAGGCTTTGGGACCCTGCACCCGCGTGGGAGACCCTGAAGAGGCTCCTGGCTTCAGATCGGCATAGCATCGGCTGTTGCGCTCACTTGGGGAGTGAATCATCGGACGGAAGATCTTCCTCTCTGTCTCTCCTCTCTGTATATCCGCCTTTCCAATAAAAAAATAATAAAAATAAATCTCTAAAATAAAAAAAAATAAAGCTGAAGTTCAACGTAAACGAAATTATTTCATTGGTCATCTTCAGTAAAGGCTAGAAACTAACATATTTTGAATGCTGGTCATTGAAGAGAAAGAATCAAGCTCCCTATTGTTTTTGCGTATACATACACAATGTTACAATACTTCAGAAGGTCCATGGAAATGGAACTAATAGGTTTATTTTGGTGAAAAGAATTTTGAAATCCACTAATAGAGGGGGGCCTTTAAAACACGCATGGAAAATATTTATAAAAACACTATTCAGGGGTTTTAAAATGTTTTGTACCCAATGATCTTAAATTTCAATTCCATTCTCCACAATGTTTTTTTAAGTATTTATGAATATACTGTATCTCCAGCAAAACAAAAATTTGGCTGAAAGGAAGTAATTTAATAGAAGCATTCTGGCCAGAAAAAAAAAAATAGAATGTCAGATTACTACTTTGTCTGCCTTAATAAATTAATGGGTTGTGATAATGATGGCAAATTTGATAACAGTAGAAAAAAAGGTGCAGCATTATATACTGGTGGTTACACATTACATGGCCTATGCAGTAGCCTGGTCGAAAAAAGAAAGAAAATAAAATATCTAAACTGGATCAGATCCAGTCTCTAGTTCCTACAAAATTCCAGGAAACATGACAGAGGAACATGTAAATGACAAAGACACACATTAGAAAAACCCAGACAGTAGGAAGGCCTGCAAAGAAGAAAGTGATCCACTCTGTTCACCAGAAATGCAGAGTAATGGAGAGCTGCTGAGCACATGTGTGCGAGGGCAGAATTTACTAGATTAAGAGAGTTAGAGAATCAGCAATCAATCTTACTATGTGGACTAAAATGCTAAAAATAAACACTACCATCAATAACCTCCAAAACTCGAAACACAAATTTTTAAAAATACAATTAAGAAAATATGCATAATCATGGGCTATTTGATGACATTTGTTTTTTGGGGGGGAGAGGTGATGGCATTTGAGATAGAGGCTGAGTAAGCTTGCCATGTACTACTGGTAATTACAGGAGCTGCGTGATGGATATGTGAGGTTCATTACACTTGTACTTTGAAAATTTCCACAGTAAAACACAGACATGTCACGACAGATCAAAATTCCAGGAAGAGTATTGTATTCCTGACCTTCTTGAGGCCCAATAAGCTAAGGGGGTGAAGCGTGAACTCAAAGGGAAGGAACGAGGCAGTAGTGACCGCAGATCTGGTTCACCACGGAGTCAGAATAAGAAAGCACAGGAAAGGCGGAATGATGGGACATACCAGAATGTTGGAGAAGATTTGTCAGCATTGCAGGTGCCGTCTCATCCCTAATTTCTGAATTTATATTTTGTTTCTCAATGTATTTCAAATCAGACTTTTTTTCTTAAAAAGGTAAACTATTCTGTTCTATTTTTTCCTTCTTTTTTTCTCACGGCTCTCAAACTGCTGGTCCCTAGAAGAGACTTTGTTATTATACAACCCGAACAACATCATAATTGACTGCCGTGTGATCTGACCCACCAGACCATGAGGTGGGTATGCACAGCTGTGCTCCACCAGCAAGTGGAAGCAGCAACACGAGATCACCTTGTGCTGGTCCTGAGGACACAGACAGCTGGTGTGAGAGGTAGGTCAGACTCAGGGAGCGCCTTCTCCCCCACTGCTGGATAGGGGTTTCCCTGTAACCAGCTGATGGATAGAAGAACTCAAAATGGGTATTAACCATACATATGACGGCCTCACTGAGAGGTGGTGCTGAAAGAGGGGATGGGAAGAACTTCATGCAATGGATCTAAAAGAAGAGAGAATCACATTTGGGGCTTTACACCGATCATGGGCAATGTTTAAGAGTTGGGCTACAAAGTCAAGGACACCGGAAGACCAA